GTGAGGCTGACACTGGCCTCCCTGCTGCCCCCCAGTGTTCCTGGAGTAGATGGCGGGGAAGCCCAGTCACACCAGCCACTGCAGAACCAAAGTCCGGAAACTTTCCCGTGCAGAAACCATGAGGGGATTCAGGAGGACCAGCTGGGTTTTCATCTTTTGCCTGCCAGAGGTGAACGTGATCGACTTCAAGAGACAAATATACTACATGGGATGCCTTGGACAGGAGAGCAATAGGCTGCCTTGGGAAGAAAGCTCAGAATTGTTGCACAAGGTGAGAATTTTTTCTCTGGTAAGTGAAATTGTGTCCACTGCTCTGTCCTTTCTTGCATATAGAAATATCCTGAGAAGTGGATTCAAGAGTCAGTAATAGGAAAAAACCAAACAATTGTAGCAAATACTGCTTGGTATACTCATTGCACATTATAATATGCCATCAGTCTCTCAGTACAACACCCAGTGGACTTATTTCCCATTACAAATAAGAAACGTGGTAGACCATAGCTATTTAGGATAATGCATGAAATCTGCTATGTAAACTGCCAATACACCTCAGGAAATACTGAACGTTGTCTTGTGGATAGATTCCTCTGCAATTTTAAACTCTGTGCCCCAATCATCACCTTCCCCCAAATTTTGTTCATTGCCTGCATCTGGTTGAGTGCCTAAGCTAGGGAAGGTGTCGTGCAACGGGATTTGCATGTGCGCTCTCACTGAATTCTCATTAGGATTCTTCAAGGTTGGATCCATCCACCTTAGGGCAGGACTGTAGTAAAATGCTTGAGACCACAGGCTTGGGTTGTATCTTAGATCTACTACTCATTAGCTCAGTGATCATGGGACAATTACTTAATAACTTTTCATTTCAATTTCCTCACATCTACAAGGTGGATATTGAGTGTTTCTACCACAGAGGTGCTTATCAGAAGTGAATGGGGTGATGAAGGCGAATGCTGAGCCCAGTGTCCAACAGAAATATGCTGGTTACTTACAGAAAAGGGAATTGCACATGAGGGAGGTTCACTGCCTGCCTGGTGCTGCAGAGTCAGTGTCAGAGTGGAGCCTTGGCTCCATACCCAGGGTAGAGCAGATGGCTTTCCTCACCACATTGAGACCAGCATTGAGAGTCCCTATCTCAATACAGCATTGCGTTGTCTTTAAAGTGCTAATTAGAATTAGAATTATCTTATTACTTAAAACATCCATTTA